AAACAAGAAAGCTTATCACAGATTATATGTTTTGAGACATCTCTCTGCTGATAAAGAGGTTGAAGTTCAACTCATGTTTCATTGGAAAGTTTTGTAGACATGCGAAGTACTGCATGACAAAAACATAGTCAGTTTTGGTTATAGCAGCATCATCATTTCTCCCTCCATTTCCTGTCATGTTGTCATTGCTTTATATTCTTGAAGCTCTACAGTATATAATGTATATAAGGCTGTTTTGGAGTAATTGTATCCTTACCAGTTCCAGTACAGCACAAAGATTAGTAAAGTGTATTAAAGACGTGCCTTAAACAAAAAAGGAAAATATATTAAAGCAAAAATACATAAATACACAGCATTTTACTTTTGTAGTTTATACAAGTGTAGCTGATTTTGAATTGTTTTACAATCTGCAACTTAATTTACTGGAATGACACGCTGGTTATTTCCTAAAACAAACCAGACGTTCACCTGGCTGCAGGGATGAAGAAAAAAAAAGAATAAAACTGTCTTATCAATCAGCTCAGTTTATGAGTGTGTCTTTGGACCAGCTTCCCCTATGTCTGCCTCCTACACAAATCACAGAGGGAGGGGTCATAAAAACATCAAGTGTTTATCACAGTATCATGGCATTTCAATAGACAGTTTTATTTTTTGTTCCTTCAATCTTTAGGTCATTTGACCAGTCACCGTGTGGTAATTACTAGAAGTAGTCATGTTTAATGAACAGTATAAAAACAAGCTTAAACAGCAACTTTCAGAGAGCACACTCCTCCCGAAGTGGAAGGGCTATGCTTAAATGTTAATGTTTTATTATGTCTCAACTTTAATGTTGGGCTCTAACAATTATTGTTGAGGTAATATGATTAGTCAACCTAGGTACTCTGTAGGTAGTTTGACGACGATCCATTCAGCTCGTGGTGTTATTGGTCTTATTTATCATCGCGCATAATTTAAAAATGTGTGATGATAAATAACATGTATCATCACACATTTTGTGATGATAAATGAAAACTGTGGAGGCTAAACTCACCAGTTCTTGCCCCGTGTCTTCCTATCTTTTGTTTGTGTTCATGATTGCTAAGTGGATTAAAAAACTTATTGTTTTAAATTCACAGTACCCTCTGACTGCCAGTTGAGCAATCTTCTATTCAAAGTAGGCCATCTCTTCAACTGTCAGTGCTGCCAGCCTATGCACATCTGGATAGGGCCTAACTGCACTACACTTTTCCATCATTTCATTTAACCTGGGGAGTTAAATTTGTACTGGCCCTGCGGGGACACAGAAGGTTTATAGGCCGTGACTGAGGTAGGCATTACGGTGAGAAACCTTGTCTTTTATGTGTGCATGACCGCATGACATCTCTGCAGCTAGAGTGTCTTCCGTGGCTGCACAAAACAAAAACAAAGGACACTGAGTTTGATATCAGCGTCACAAACAGTCTATATATAAAAGTACTATATCTAGCGATAACTATATATACCAATATGGAGAAATACCAAAACACTTAATATATCAGGGTGGTGTCTGAGAATCAAAGATAAGGACAATGCTGGATGATACCTCCCACTCACTCCATGACTTGCTGGCTAGTCACAGGAGCATGTTCAGTGAGAGACTGAGATTACTTAAAAGCACCACTGACTGATACAGGAAATCATTCCTGCCTGTGGCCATCTCCCTGTACAACTTCTCCATCTAACACACTGTAAACACCTAAATAGTTACAGTCTTTTTACACATGCTGTACTGTAAAAAGCAAATAACAAAGTTCACAGGTCATATCTCTATATATATATCTATATATATCTATATATATATATATCTATATATATATATATATATATATATATATCTATATATATATCTATATATATATCCATATATATATCCATATATATATCTATATATGGATATATATAGATATATATATTTATATAAAAAATTTATATATATAAAATTTCCTTAGGGATTACTAAAGTATTTTGATTCTGATAGATAACATAACAAGTGCATATAACTGCTTTAGTTGGCTTAACAGCAGCTGAAGTGAGGAGGACCCTCAAGAGGATTAACCCCCGAAACGTTGTCGGCCCACATAACATCCCCGGGTGGTTCTTGAGGAACTGCGCTGATCAGCTCTCTGAGGTCCTGACAGACAACTCCTCCCTCACCCAGGCAACTGTCCCCACCTGTATGAAAACCGCCACCATCATCCCAGTCCTCAAGAGCTCTGCTGTGACGAGTCTGAATGACTATCAGCCAGTAGCCCTCACACAGATCATCACAAAATGCTTTGAGAGGCTGATTGTGGCCCACATCAAAGCCACCACCAGTGTCACTTCTGACCCACACCAGTACGCCTACCGGAAGAATCGAGCCACAGATGATGCCATCTCTTCTGTGGTTCACACAACACTCACCCACCTGGAGCAGAAGAACTCCTACGTCCGTCTGCTCTTCGTGGACTTCTCATCCGCTTTTAACACAATCACCCCACAGACACTTGTTGACAAATTACTGACTCTGGGACTGAGCTCCTCTCTTTGTAACTGGGTTCTGGACTTCCTGAACAACAGGCTGCAGTCCTCCCCTCAGGGCTGTTTGCTAAGTCCCCTCCTGTTCACGCTGCTTACATATGACTGCTCACCCATCCATCCAGGCTGTCATATTGTAAAGTTTGCAGATGACACAGCTGTGGTTGGTTGCATCACAAACAATGATGAGACTGGCTACAGGAAGGAGGTGGAACACTTAGAGGACTGGTGCAGGAAAAACAATCTCTGCTTAAATGAGAAAAAGACGAAGGAGATGATTGTGGACTTCAGGAGAGGAAGACACACACACCCCTGCACGTCGGAGGATCTGCAGTTGAAGTAGTACCCAGCTACAAGTACCTGGGTATGTACCTAGATAACAACCTCACCTGAAAAAACAACACGTGTTGTTGCCTGATCTAGCCTGATCAGGAAGGCTCACCAGAGGCTCTACTTCCTGAGGAGGTTGAGGCGTGCGGGACTTGAGAGCTCAGTCCTGATCTCCTTCTACAGATGTGCGGTGGAGAGTGTTCTGTGCTCTAGCATCAATGTGTGGCACGGAAACTGCACTGTGGCAGAGAGGAAAGCTCTACAGAGGGTGGTGAAGGCTGCTCGGAGAGTGGTTGGAGGCAGCCTCCCAACTGTCACATACATATACACCTCCAGATGCAGGAAGAGGGCCACCTGTATCATGAAGGATACAGGTGGCCCTCTATCTTGGTGAACACTCAAAGAGTGTGTGTGCTCACCCAGCACACACACTCTTCGTCCCGCTCCCCTCAGGCAGGAGGCTGAGGAGCATTAAATAACCAGACTGAGAAACAGCTTCATTCCAGAAGCTGTGAGACTCCTCAATACATAAATGGACAAGAACTGCTATTGTAGCACCTTAATCACTACTGACACTTACTGACACTGTCACTTTATCAATGCTGGCATCATGCCCTTTGCTGCTAAAAGTATTTATTTATACCCATACTCCATACTGGTACTCAGTTTGTTGCACTCTACTTATTGCATTATTTATCGTATTTATGTTATTACTTGTTTTTCTGTTTGTTTAAAAAACAACAAAAAAAAACCCTATTATTTATTACTTAAAAAAACCCCAAAATCTCTGTATCTTTATTATCTGTATTATTTTGTTTCTTTTCGCTCCGGGACCGTGTGTACATAATTTCGTTCCACCTCATGTTAACATGTGATGCGAATGACAATAAAGCTCCTTGAATCCTTGAACTGGTAAACTAAGTGAAATTAGAACTGAGGGTATAACTTTACACAGAAAAAACAGTAGTGTTAAAGTAACACTTACTATCTCTGTAAGTGTTAATTTAACAAAGCCATATTCACTGTATATCTACTCATTTAAAACATCAAGATTTAGCAGCCTGTTTATCTTTCAGTTTCTCACCGGTACTTACAACAAGCCGCATGGTGCATTATGGCAGGTTCTCATTACCATTTGATATATTCACATTTTATGTACAATTGATATTTAGTACAGCTTTGGATAAAGGCTTTAAGTTGCCCACCACAGGATATGCATATTTACTTTAACCCTGGAGAACCAATGGGGTCAGATCCGACCCCATTGGTTTACTAGGGAAACCATGGGGTCAAATTTGACCCCATGGTTTCTCCAGGGTTAAATGAGACATGTATTGCTGATAAACACTCCTTGATCAGATGAATATTAGATAATAGTAGGTTATTGTCAACTGAAACCGGGTTAAGCCCAAAATTAAACTAAGCCAACTCAAAAATAATAGATAAAAAATTTAGGCTGCTCAAGTAAATGTTATTTGTGGTTGTAGTTAAAGATTTTTCGTGGGCAAAAATGTCTGCATGTTAGAGAAAAAATGAAAATGTTTTTCTCCTGACTATTAGGGGGATAGTCTTTTGTAGTAGTAGTAAAACTTAAAAACTTGGAAAACTTATCATTTCAGTAAAAGTAAAATTATAAATAAAATAATAAATAAATTTTATTAACTCAACGGGTTTTGTTGGTGTCCATTCTGTGTTAGCTGCAATTCCAGCAGAACAAAAGAGAAAGCAGCAGATTAGAATCAAGAGCAAAAACATTTATACATTTTCTGTCTCACCAAGTGAACACATGCAAATTCCAATGACAACACAATGAACCATTTGCAGAGTTGTAATTTTATAGCTGTGGTCCATTTGTGATGTTGGTAGAGAATCTGTATTACAGTTAAAAATGCTGTAAATAAAAAAGTCAGTTAAAATGTGGTACTTCAAGTCAATTTGAAACTGAAACTCTGAACAGAAACTGCTCCTGATCAGGTTATGTTATCAGCATCAGGTTAGTAAACACAAATTAACTAGACTCCAGAAGTATGAAGAATAAATCTCAAATATGAATGAAGTCTAAGAAAAAAAAACCTCATAAAAGAGTTTAAAAAAAAAAAGTTTTACAAAAATTAAAAAGTTAATCAAGACTGACAACATAAGCTACTTGAACATTTGTTGAAAGGTTAAGCAACAACCAATTTGGGAAAATAATAAACTAATGATAATTTAAATTTTCCATTAACCAAACCTAAATGTTTTTTTGCAAACAATAACTTTGACTTCACAAACCACTATTTTCATTGTAAAATTTCTACCTGTGTTCCCTTCAGTGGCAATAAAAAAAATGCTGCAAGTAGAAATATTATTTTTGCCTCAAAGCTGCTGTCTCAGATTACCATTTATAGCAGTTATACTAAAATCCAAAGAATATGCACAGTCACATGAAATAACTGATATTACAAACAATACTAGAAAATAATAAACAATGAGACAACACTTTTAATAAATCAGTAACATAGAAATCACAATTAAATATGGTAGATCAACAAATAACAAAAATAATGTATCCTCATATCCTTATTCAAAGCAAGTGATTGTAACACCTGTTTAACTTAATAAAAATATACTGCTATGTTTCATGTTTGTTTGTATGTTTACTTTTCTTACTTTTTTCTTCTTGCTGATAAAAATGGGAAGCAACACTCATACTGCATTCTCCAAATAAATCGAGATTTAAAAAAAATAGTTACAGTTACTAAAGAGCTCTGTGTATGGCCTGTATGTCACTGATCTCTGGTGAAAAAATATAAAATATTAAATTAAAGATAAATAATTTATGTTAAATTACCACAAGTGGAGACTTGTCATTAAATAATCGTTAAAATATTATTTCACAAATACTGTTCTTGATTTTTTTATTTATCAATGCGACAAACCATGAACGACACCCACATCTTGTTCTCTAGACTTGATTCAGACGCTTCTATTTCTTCATCATCCAGTTTGAGAGTTTCAGTGTATATTGAATAATTTGTGTCATGGTGAGTTTGTTCTTCTCTTTTGGGTCTTCTTTTCTGCTGCTCTGACTCACTTTGTTTTGACCCTCCGGCGTAGATTGCATTTTTTTGTCTGAGACTTATTTTCAATATTTTCTTCTTTATTTTTGACAAGTCTCGCAGAGCTGCACTGTGAGGTTTTCTCTACAGTTTCTCTCAACTCTATCTCACTACAAATACCAGTCTTGTTTTTTTTTCTTTTTTTCTTTATCAGTGCGACAATCCATGAACAACACCCACATGTCTCGCTGTCTGCACTTGATTCAGCAGCTTCTATTTCTATATCATTCAGTTTGGGAATTTTGGTGTATTTTGGATCATTTGTGTCATGCAGAATTCGTTCTTCTCTTTTGGTTCTTCTTTTCTTCTGCCCTGACTTGCTTTGTGTTAATCCTTTGGGTTTGCTTGTGTTTCCTTCATTATTTTTGACATGTCTCTTAGACCTGCCTTGTGAGGTTTTCTCTACATTTTCTTTTCTTGTTTTCTTCGTCTTTGTCCCAAAACTTTCACCATCATGGTTCTGCCTAAGTCCTTCATGAGTCATTTGAACTTTTACTGACCTCTGTGAACCACATCTTCCTTCTTTGCTTTCCCCAATCTCATATCTGGCTTGTGGTTGAAAACGCTCTGCTTTTGTTTTTTCATTTGTACCAGCATCCTGGTTTTCTCTGGGTGCTTCTATTATTTCTGGTCCCACTGGTCTTAGATGGGATTTTTCTCTGGTCTGAATTTGTTTAGTATTTCCTTCGTATTCTTTCACTTTCATCTCTTCCTCCACATCTTTCTGTGTCCTAGCAGCACAACTTGCCTCCCCTGCTGTGTTTTGCCAAAACTTACTGTGATCACCTTTATTGTTTCCTTTTCTTTCTCTCCTGCCCTCCTTCATATTTCTGATTTCTGTCTCTACACAAATATCATTATCATTTGAATGTGTAACACTGATGTCCTGCATGTTTAATGTATCATGCTGTCCTTTTCCATGTTTATGATTCAGATCATCTTGTAGTCTGTTTTCTTTTCCTTCATCAACTTTTTCTTTATCCTGAAATGTGTCACAGCACATCTCTGCTGTTGGTTTATCAGCACGAATCTTTCCTTTTGTGTCATGTTGAAAATCTGTTTTTGTTTTCTTCTCATCCTCCTTCTCAGCATGATTAGTCTCCTCCCCTTCTCTCCTTCTCTTTTTCTCATTTTTCCCATCTTGTTTCTGATCTTCATTATTGATGGTAAGTGGTCCACTGGTGAACACATCTGTGGACTCTGGAATACCAATATCTGCAGCATGAACCACAAAGTAGAAACAAAATCATTCAGGCACCAAAGAGCTGAAGAAACCACAACAAAGTATCTGCTCTTACCTTTCTTTTTCCTGTAAAACAGAAGATATGCAGTCTGGGACCTAATGAATAAATATGATATGTAATACATATGTTTCACATGTAATGCAAATAATGTACTGTCAGGATAAGACGTACAAAAACTTACGTGTCAGTGATATCCAGCTGGAATGGCTGATAATCAAGCTGATGATGTAAAAATAATACAAAAAAACATGATGGAATTGTTTAGCCACTCTCCATGGGTAAACAGTGTCAACAATGTATAAGTGATCAGTCTTACCTTTGTGACCCTGGTATCATCAAACTGATACCATCTGTCTCCATGTTCCTCCTGGATCTTGATTGTTGCACTGTAATGTCCTCCTCTCAGATCACCAAAATGATCCACAAACGCATACAGTTCATATGTCTGACTCTGATCACCGAAGGAAAAATGGCAAACATCAGAATGACTGAAGAAAATAAAATGGATTATGATTAAATACTAAAATATTCTGAACATATACCTCTGGTATCTGCAGGGTGTAGGGAACCTCCACTGAACAGGTGATTTTGACATATGACATGTAATTATAGTTGAACTCAAACCTCTTCAGCATTAGACACAAAACATCTGGATGATGCTTAATTACATCTGTCTGAATGAAAAACATTCAATTCAGTTCAGTTTTAGTATTACAGCACCAAGTCACAATAACAGTCACCTCAAGGAGTTTGTCTGTTCCCAATACATGTTAATATGTTTTAGTAATTGCATTTAAAGAATAACAATAGAATCATAAACTTTTTTTTTAACTCACCATAGTAGCATCAACTTTGTCATCACACTGCTCACAGTACATTTGATTTTCTCCACAGAAATCTGAAGGTTTAAAAAACTCTTCAATGCCCTTCACCTGAAAAATGTTATGTAAAATCAGCTCAAACAATCATGTGCTGACCAGTGAGGTGAAGAATGTCTCCTCGAGGAGGAAGGTTTTAAGCATGACACACTCAGTTTATTAGGTAAGCTTCAAAGGCTAAGATCTATTGTTTAAGAGACAAATGTTTTCTTGGCACTGACGAGGCCTGTAATAGATGTGGCTTTACATGTATGGATTTGAATTTTAGTCCCTTAAGTTAAAGCTGAAAGTGTGAACTTCACATGGATTGTTTGACCCACTGTGGTGATGTTCAAAGGCAAAACTACACAAATTGTGTATTTTCAATTTAAAAAAAAAAAACAGTCCTAAGTTGATCGTTTAGACAGCTCATAATATTTTAGAGGTTCTGGATAATTTTATGCTGAAAGCTGTACTGTAGGCCATGGTAATTGAAGTGGTTCAGCAACTGTTTCATTTTCATAACACTGTAGTTACAGGATTTATCACATGATTACTCCTTTTTATCTATAGCAAATCAATCTAAATTTGAGATATGCAATAATGATGTGTACTGAATAATGTGTACTGAAATAGTAACAAAGTGATAAAGTGTAACATTAACTTTATGCAGTGGACAGAATCATTTGATAAAAAGTGGATAAAATGAAAGTAAAACAATCATCATTTCCTGAGAAAAATATGAAAATATATGGGGTTTTTTTACTGGCAAAAACATGTAGGCTCAAAATGTTTTCTCACAGCTGTCATGTCCTAAGAATAGAAACATGCAGAGAAGTTTGCAGCTTGTCATATCCTTACCACACTGTAGTCTTTACTGCAGTAATCCACCAGTGAAAGAGGAAGATGCCAAAACGGTGCATCTCCGTCAGTCTGTATATGTCCTTTAGAGCAGGTGGTCTTGTTTGCTAACTGACCGTGGAAGATCTGAAAATACAAATTCACAAAAACCTGTTCATTTTATTTTAGTTCAGGTTTAATTAGATTGCACTTGCTCACAATAAAAGTTGTCCAAAGCATTTTATACTATAAAGCAAAGACCCCATAATTAAAAAGTGATGTTTTGATCAAGTATATAGATACCCTTTGACATCAATGGCCTTACCTTTGATGCATCAGTGCTGGTCATTCTTAAAACCCTCTCAAAGTACTCTGCAGCATCACGCTGTTCATACACTGTGATAAATGCATATAATTAAAAAAAAAAAAAAAGAAGAAGTACATTTGTACAGAAGTATATTTGTAATTTTACCCTAAAATTTTCCATTGTTGTAATAATTAAATAATTAGATCAATAATAGTCATATTTTACTCTTATACAGTGCTCAGGAGTTTACACTGTTTGAAGTTTTTGTTGCTCTTTACCATTGTCGATGCCCAGCTTCTGTGTTATTTCATATGTGTATGCTCTATAGTTATGTAAGTCATCAAATAAGGCTTTCAGATGATGATCAAGAAACTCAGTGTGAGGATTTTCTTCAGAGTTCCTACAAAGAAAGTAAAGATGAGTGATTAAAAATGCACAATAGACTTTATATATGATAAATACAGAATTATGCTTAAAGTTGGACAACAAACCTTGTCACAGCATCTCTGAAGTCTTTGGTCATGAACAGCACCTGCAGCACACTGTTCAAGTAACATGTGGATCCTTGGTTTATCAGCCCATGGTACCTGTTAGCTGATGGGAAGAGAGAGTGCAAACAAAGAAGATATATATTTAAAACATTCGTCTGGATCATAAAACCAAAGAGAAACAAACAAAAAGACCATTTATATTGTATCATTTCTACATTAGGAGTTTAACTGTTTTTTTTTTTCAATGTTGATATTACTGTAAAATATCTAATTTGCCAATTCTAGTCAAATTCAGTTGTTCAATGTAATTGGCTGATTGAGAAAGATCATGCCAATTTATATAATGTCTCAAAATTTACAGTGCGGGGAAAATGAGAGCCAATAAGTCAAAAGAACTGCCTGTAAAACGTTGACCCATAGATCAGGGCCAATTAAACTTGGAGCATTGCCAGGAGTATAGTGGCCTCAGTAACTGGTAAACTTAAAACAAACAAAACTCTCTCTTTAGAGTTCAGCATCTCAACCTAGTGCAGGAAATTTGTTAGGGAAATGAATCTGAACATTACTTCAAAAATCCTGAGAGAGATTTGTGACTCAGCAATGTTTATATTATATTAATCTATTAAACATTTATGATGACGATGTTGACAAAAGCTAAACGAAAAATAAAAACAGCACTCCAAGTACACGAGAGCTAAAAAGACAAAAAGGAAACATCGAAATCACTGTAGGATAGATAAATATAGAACTTCTAAAAAAACAAACAAAAAACAGACAAAAAGCTCTAAATATTTTTGAAACCTTACCCTTAGGGGTATTTTTGTAAACAATTTGTCTGTCCTGTTCGCTCATTTTCAGTGCCGTTCTCCGATCACTTCACTTCTGCACTGCTGAAGGAAACTGCTCCTTAAAAAAAATTAACCTCAAATATTAGCGGTTACGCTAAACAACTACTAAACAGACAGCGACCTGGAGATCAAGTGAATTTAAAAGCCCCGGAATACTTTCGCTTTCTCTTCCGGTGTTCCAGATCTACTGGCGTTTAGATCAACTGGCGTTGGTCGAACAGATGTGTGGCAGTCTTGCGTTTCAGGAGCTGCTACCGACAAATCAGCAAAAAAAAAAAACCGCCAAGTGTGTCACCTGTGACACCTGCGAGGTTATATCAAACACACTCCGTCAGTCTTGATGCTGTTGAACAACAAAATGTTTGAAAATGTGGCGAGTTTACCTGGTGATTGTCTCATGCGCGACGCGATCGCGGAAACAGCAAACAATTAACACCACGCCGATGTTGTTCACAGGACAGCAAGAGTAAACGATCGGGAGACTCTTGTCGTCGTTATCGTTCCCCTCGCACGTTTTATTTCTCCGGTTTCAGCGTTTTTGCTTCACAACTAAAGCGTGCAGTTTACTTTGTGAGCACTAACATGGACTCGAGTCAACCAGCGCCACCTCTGGCCAAGTGCCACAGCCTACAGCCAGAGTGACACACATCTGCAGCACGTTTGAATTCGTTTCATGCACAATTTGTACCTTTCAATTGTCTCTGTTTGTGCGTCATGCAAATATGAAATGATATCATATATTCCTTATTGGCCTACATTTGTACAAAATTCCAAATTATATACACAAAGTCATAGAAATCACCATCATGATTTTAATATTCTCTTTTTCCATAACAATGAAATA